TGGGCTGCAGAGCTGGCAATCTAACTGGGGGGAGACCTGGCTGCAGCTGCAGAGCTGGCAATCTAACTGGGAGGGGGGAGCTGGATGCAGAGCTGGCAATCTAACTGGGGGGAGACCTGGCTGCAGAGCTGGCAATCTGACAGTGGGGGTTGCAGAGTTGGCATTCAGGGGATGAACTAATTATTTGCCATCATTCATTCTGGATCCTGGTGAGGGCTGGCTGAGAAGTACATATAGAGTGCCAAGCTTACCTAGCGGTGGATGTGATGGAGCTCTGAGCTTTGGGAGGGTTGACACCTAGTGGATGCATAGCTGGTTTCCTCTATTCTGTTTCGGGATATTGGGGGCACCAAACCATCTCTTTGTCTCTTGTTGTTTGATTCTGTCACCAATTTACATCTGCATTAATATTCCATTGTCCAGGTGTGGAATTTTGTCACTTTAGAGAATAAGTTGTAAAACGAGGATGTCACACGTCACCAATGGATTCAAGGTGGAAACAATAGGTTTATTCACAAAAGTGTGAACGGTCTATATTTCAGATTTTAGCCCAATATAGGAAACCTTCTCCAAATCAGCTTTGGAATTCAGTTCAACAATTTTAGCCAAAAATATAAAATTCACCTGGAATTAATTAGCCTGTAAATGTTTTATAAGGATATAGCGTGGAGCAGAGGAGATATAGGGATTTACATGATAGAAAATCAACATATTTTATTATTTTCTATTGAAAAAGAGTCATCTGAACACAAGAATATCACCTGACGTTGTTGGGAGAGAAATCTAGGATTAATATCACAAAATATTTTTGGAGTAGACTTGGCAAAGATAGAAAAGTTGAGTTAACCATACAAATTTTTATTTAAAAATGTGTAGAGACATGGGACCGAGGCATGGTGTGACTAGGGAATTAACTTTCGAGACTGCAGGTACATGATCTATACACCAAAGCTACGTCATTAAGTTGAAGTTGTTTTGGTGACTACAGTGCCCATTTAATAATGCTCTATAATAGATTTTGCTGTAATTCCCCAGCCATGCAGGCTCATTAGCATCTGTGTTCATTTGCCATTCGCCACCTTATCTCATTTACTGTTTTGTTTTCTAACCTTTGACCCAATCAAGGATTTCCCACGTCTCTGATCTAAACGTTTATACATTTACATCAAGTAGTGACTGCAGTCCCACTTACTAACCGCAATATTATACTATAACTACACTATACTATTAGCCTGTCTCTTACCTGTCCCTGCCATTATTACTGGGTCTATTAGTGGAAAGGATTGCTACACCAGGGAGTAGGGAGATGTGACAAGAAAATAGTACTTTTTAATTCCAAATAAATGTACTGATGGTAAATTTATGGTGCAGGTAGTGTAGTGATGGTAAATGTATAATACAAGTAGTGTGGTGATGGTAAATCTATGCTGTGGATAGTGTAGTGATGGTAAATGTATGGTACGGATAGTGTAGTGGTGGTAAGTTTATGGTACGGGTAGTGTAGTGATGGCAAATGTATGGTACGGGTAGTGTAGTGGTGGTAGGTTTAAGGTACAGGTAGTATAGTGATGGCAAATGTATGGTACGGGTAGTGTAGTGGTGGTAAGTTTATGGTACGGATAGTGTAGTGATGGTAAATCTATGGTACGGGTAGTGTAGTGATGGTAAATCTATGGTACGGGTAGTGTAGTGATGGTAAATCTATGGGACAGGTAGTGTAGTGATGGTATATCTATGGGACGGGTAGTGTGGTGATGGTAAATCTATGCTGTGGGTAGTGTAGTGATGGTAAATGTATGGTACGGGCAGTGTAGTGATGGTAAATGTATGGTACGGGTAGTGTAGTTATGGTAAATCTATAGTACGGGTAGTGTAGTGATGGTAAATCTATGGTACAGGTAGTGTAGTGATGGTAAATCTATGATACAGATAGTGTAGTGATGGTAAATCTATGATACGGGTAGTGTAGTGATGGTAAATCTATGGTACATGTAGTGTAGTGATGGTAAATCTATGATACGGGTAGTGTAGTGATGGTAAATCTATGGTACAGGTAGTGTAGTGATGGTAAATGTATGGTACGGGCAGTGTAGTGGTGGTAAATCTATGATACAGATAGTGTAGTGATGGTAAATCTATGGTACAGGTAGTGTAGTGATGGTAAATCTATGGTACGGGCAGTGTAGTGGTGGTAAATCTATAATACAGATAGTGTAGTGATGGTAAATCTATGGTACAGGTAGTGTAGTGATGGTAAATCTATGATACAGATAGTGTAGTGATGGTAAATCTATGATACGGGTAGTGTAGTGATGGTAAATCTATGGTACAGGTAGTGTAGTGATGGTAAATCTATGATACGGGTAGTGTAGTGATGGTAAATTTATGGTACGGGTAGTGTAGTGATGGTAAATCTATGGTACGGGTGCGAGGAAGGCAGAAAGTTGCTGACAGAGTGTGAGGGAAGTATACGGACGTGTCTGGAAGCAGGATAGAGAGTAAACCCCCCAAACAGTATGTTATAGATGACTAGGAGATAATTGAGGTTTTGCCCCATGTCAAAAATATTGGATGTGTTTACTAATCAGTGGTTCTTATGGCCAGCTCCCTGTGCCATGTTATGGGTCCACAATGGCTGGGTCAGTTACTTTCTGTTAATCAGACCCTAATATCTGCCAACAATGTGTTCTAAAAACCACGGCAATAATCAGTGAGTTAGCAAATGACTGGCATGAAGAAGTGATTTGGTTTTTCAGCCTGTTTATTTAGATCTACATTTTGCCAGTTAGTTGCAGTTTGTGTAAATTCCTTAATTTCACTTATGAAGGCCTTTAAAACTCACGCTACACTGAAGGCCAATATCTCAGCCCTGAATGTGTGCTCTGCAGGTCGTAGGGCAAGTCAATATGTTTTCATCTTCGGAGAATGCTTTGTTTTTTTTTACAGTTTTAGGACAAAGTTTGTTCATTAAATTGAGCAGGAAAAGGTGCAGGAAGGCAGGTGTGTCAAATCGTAGAACTTCACCTGTAGGAATACAAACTCCCACGATGCATCACATTTTCAGTTTGTTCATTCTGATTTAAAATGTAAAATTTTCATTGAATTCCTAACAATTTACACCTTAGTGAATAATTCTGTCACTTTATAGAAACATAGAATGTGACGGCAGATAAGAACCATTCAGCCCATCTAGTCTGTCCAATTTTCTAAATACTTTCATTAGTCCCTGGCCTTATCTTATAGTTAGGATAGCCTTATGCCTATCCCACGCATGCTTAAACTCCTTTACTGTGTTAACCTCTACCACTTCAGCTGGAAGGCTATTCCATGCATCCACTACCCTCTCAGTAAAGTAATACTTCCTGATATTATTTTTAAACCTTTGTCCCTCTAATTTAAGACTATGTCCTCTTGTTGTGGTAGTTTTTCTTCTTTTAAATATAGTCTCCTCCTTTACTGTGTTGATTCCCTTTATATATTTAAATGTTTCTATCATATCCCCCCTGTCTCGTCTTTCCTCCAAGCTATACATGGTAAGTTGATACATTGTACATTGTGTTTAGAACCAATAATGCTAAAAGATTCTAAACTGATTTCAATTTACTGGATTCCCCAGACTAAGCATAATATTGGGTGCTTAACCCCTTCACTACGTAGCGTTTTAAAAATAGATTACTGTTTTTTTTCTCAGTTATGGGATGAGTATATTGCAATATCAGGCATAGATTCATCATTAGTTTTTGTTATTATTATTACAGCACTGTGTAGGGATTATGGTGCAATACAGCTCTGGTAAGCAGCGAAGGCGGTAGGTGGTGTCAGGTGGACCCAGGTAAGTTGCCAAACCATTACATAACGGTTTGACTAATTACAGTACTATGCCGCCCGTCAGCGTTTAGAGCCGGGTCCCCAAGGATGGCATAGTACGCCCGCCGTCCTTAAAGGGACACTCCAGGCATCCAG